TGCTTTTGAGTCAGCTCTAACTCATAGCGACCCTGTAAAGGGTTTCTGAGGGTGGTTGGTAGGTTTGAACTGCTGAATTTGCGGTTACAAGTCCAGTTCTTATCCTACAGTGCCACACAAGGGCTTATCCTATAGGTAAATACTATTTAAAATTTAAATGCTATTAACATTGGACTGCGAACCACGAGGTCGATGTTTCAAACCCACCAGCTGCTCCTCGAAAACCCTATACAGGGTTGCTATGAGTTGCAACCAACAGGTTCCATGCTTACTTTTTTGTGTATTTATAAGTTTATTTTTGGCAAAATATTTATTAGGAGTGGCATTTATTTTTTAAATTACACTATACATTTCTGGTAGCATAGTGGTTACGAATTGGGCTGCGAACCACAAGGTCAGCAGTTCGAAACTACCACTTGCTCCGCGGGAGAAAGATGAGGCTTTCTGCTCCCGTAAAGATTTATAGCCTCGAAAACCCTGTTCAGGGTCTCTATGGGTCGGAACTGACTCGACGGCACTTAACAACAACAATAATACATTTCTAGTTTTATTATCACTGACTGCAACTTTTATCATTTCTGTTTTCCAAATTTAATTGTGAATTTTCATATGATGAATTTCTATAAATGTATCATCATCATGTATAAAGGAACCATCTAATACAAAATTTGTTAGTTTATTTCCTTGTTGTTGTTGTTAAGTGCTGTTGAGTCAGTTCTGACTTATAGTGACCAAACCCCATTAATCATGAGAGGAACCATTGATTTACTTACAGCCATTCAAGAAGAATAAACAGCACAGCTCTACATGTTCACACATTTTTATTGCCTATTAAATAATCTGGAGTCCTGGTGTGACAACACTGGACTGCTAACATAAGGTTAGCAGTTCAAGGCTACCAGGCGCTCCTTGGAAACCCTATAGAGGGTCATTATGAGTTGGAAGAGACTTAATGGCAGTTAACATTAAATAATCAAAGAAGCTCGAGTGTCGTAGTGGTTATAAAGCACTCAGCTGCTCCAAATCCACCAGCTACTCCACTGGAGAAAGATGTGACTGTTCCAAGATTACAGTTTTGGAAACCCAATGGGGCAATTCTTCTCTGTCCTATGGAGTTGTTATGAATTGGAATTCGACTTGAAGGACTTGGTTTGAATGGGTATGTTGCTATTGTTATGTGCCTTGGAGTAGATAATAGGATTCATTTATCTGTCCCATTATATATCTTTTACTTTGAGGTTATTGTTAAGTGCTATCTAATTAGTTCCAACTCATAGCGTTTCCTGGGCTGTAAATCTTTGTGGGAGCAGAAAGCCTCATCTTTCATCCACAGAGTGGCAGGTGGTCTCGAAATGCTAACCTTGTGGTTCACAGTCCAGTGTTTAGCCTTACAGAGCCACTGCACTCCTGTCTTTTTCTTTAGTAGCTCACAATTTAAATCTGAGTCCTTTTCAAAAAACAGAGGCTTAACATTTTAAATGTTTAATTTTAGGCTGGTGATACTGACCTCTTTATTAAATGTTGAGCCTTGTTGAAGATTATTGTTGCCTTTCATCCTTCTTTTCAATCGATTAAATGAAAAAACAAAATAGGATTGCGTAGGTCTGGGGAATAAATAGCTTCTCTTGAAATTTAGCGGGTTTTTTTCTTCTTTATTTAGGTGAAATTCACATAACATAAAATTAACCATTTTAAAGTGAACAATTCATTGGCTTTTAGTACATTCACAATATGCAGTCACTACCTCTATCTAATTTCAAAGCATTTCAACACAGCTGTAAGGTTTGGCACTTAGATATTTGGTTCCTGAGTAATAGTCTTTATGACTCATGCATTGGTCACACCAACCTCCCTATCTTTAAAAATTTTGTGATTTATTCTGAGAGACTAGGTTTTTACATTTGCCTTTTACAGTTACATTGCCTAGCCTGTGACAGACAACCTACACACTATTTGTGTGTGTGTATGTGTGTCAATGTGGCATCAAACCAGAATCATTTAAAGTTAGAATTAGGGCTCCAAATTAATGGTAAAATCCAGCCATTTGGGGATAGGCAATGCAAAGCAAATAACTCGATTGACATGAAAATTGGATTCACTTCCCCACAAAGCTAAATTTGCGGATACATTAAGTTCCCAGCTACTTGGCAGAACTCACTCCTAACTGCTTTGAATTTCTTTTGGCTTTAATTATAGGAATATTTGATTCCAGTAATATAATCATTTAAAAATATTCCTTTATAATGAAGAAATAGCATATATCTATTAGGGCTAATTGATTTCAGACTTTCTATTCTCTAGTCTAGAATTAAAAGTCTAAGTACTCAGGGATCAGGCAGGTAATCTCATGTAGGGCCTGTGAGGCCTGTGGGGAACTGGCAGCGAATAGACATCTGCTAAGTGACATTCACACTCACTCTTCAAGAAAATTACAGCCAATTAGATCCTCTAGGACCTTCTTTATCTAGTGTCTGCTTGACTTATCGTCAATCATGGTAAGATCTTGTATAATAATTATGTTTCTATAAATTTTAATTTCTTTTAGTTTTTTATTTTAAGTCGTTTTCTCTGAACTCTCTGGTACATCACATTCTATTATAATTATGCTTGTTATCTTTGTGAGATTGCCTTTATTATGTTTGGTATCTCTCCCCTCACATTTTACAATTTCTTCTCAAATTTCCGGTTTCTATCTTTCTATCTCTATTACTTGCTCTGTAGCTTTCATGTTGGAGTTGGGCAGCCCTGTATTCATTCCCATTGGACCAGAATATGAAATGCCAGTCTGCCTCTCTTCTAGAAGTATGGAAGCCCAACCTAAAATAATGTCTTTTCTTTTCTCTTTATTCCCATTTAGCATCCTTTCTTCTTTCTTAATGCATTCTTTGCCTGATAAATATTTCTTGATTATATACAGGACACTTGGTGTGAAATGACCTATGGTAGCTTTTGTCTTTTGCAAATTTGTATCAGTAGTGTTCAGTCCTTAGAAGCGTGTGTGTGTGTGGCGGGGAGGGGAATCTGTGAATACTCTTTCCACACTTTCCTAGTCAGTTACAAAGAAAAAAACAACAACAAACGTTGATCTCACATTGAATACTGCTTGTATGGAAAGCTCAGTGAAACCCTAACTCTCTGTCCTTTTAGGTATTCTAACAGCATCTTTCTCTTATTCTTTAGTCCATACTTATTTTGTTTTAGTATTGAGATGTAATTCATATAAGATAAAATGTACCATTTTAAATTGTACAATGCATTGGACAACATATCTGGTTTTTATTGAGGGTAAAATTAGTAGAACATGAAATTAACCATTAGGCAAATGAAAGTGTATAGTTTCGTGGCATTTAGTACATTCATAATGTGTAAGCATCATTGTACCTGGGGCAGCCCATAGCATCCTTACATTTATATTAACTCAATACAAATGTGACAGCATTCTAGCAGTGGGAGTTACCTAACTTTTTAACTGGAATTAGGCCAAGAAAGCAATTGAACATAGGACTATTTTGCAATCAAGTTTTAAGGTGCTCTCTATATACCTAAGGACATGTAAGAGCAGTCTTTAGGTGGTCCCTGGGTTGTATGAAGGGTTAATGCACTTGGCTACTAACTGTAAGGTTGGAGGTTCGAGTCCACCCAGAGGTGCCTTGGAAGAAAGGCCTGGCAATCTGCTTCTGAAAAAATCAGTCATTGAAAACTATAGAATAGAACACAGTTTTGCTCTGGCACACATGCGATCACCATGAACCCGAGTCAACGCAATAGAAACTGGTTTTAAGAACAGTGCCTGGCCAGAATTTTAATACAGTCATTTCACCAACTAAAACTCATTTCTAATAGCCATTATGGCAATTAAAAATACTTTTTGTGTTGATCAGAGATATAGACTAGTAGGACATTTTGCTAGCCACCTCTGAAATGTAGGCTTCAGATAGAAATGTACTAAACATTCCTGAGATTATGTGTGTATTCCTAATTAGGGTAACTGACTACTACTAGAGTGTAGATTACATCTAACAAACTCAGTTGAATAACCTTAGAGTGACATTACATACACAATTAACTTTTGAAACTTCAACTATAAAAATTGGTCAAAAAATAAGAGGCGAAGGGAACTGCTCAAGCTTGAACAAGAAGCCGTCAGTGTCCTCATGTCCTCACTGTGTGAGCAGGTCATCATGGTGAGAGTGATTCCAGGGGTTGACGATATATACTGTTCATAAAACATGACGCCCAAACATAAAGCAGTTACTTCCACTGAACTTCAACTAAAGAGGCAGTCATCTATTTTAACATGAGAGAAAAATGGATTGCGTTTTACTTACTGATTAATGAGGACAGTTTTCCAAAGTAGTTAAGGAATTTTCAAGAATATTTTTTTTAACTCTATCTGAATTTTATTCTGCTTTAGGGCCTACCTCTTCTCCATCTCCACTACCCATCTAGCGTTGAGCTTTGAGGTTCCTAAAGAAGTGTAAGGCAGGGTGTCCAGTACTTTGGAAGAATTTTAGATCTGCCTCATTGCCTCAAGGCAAACAATCAGCTTGCCCAGGCGTCAGCCTAATTTCATCCCAGAGCCAAAGTAGCTTTATGTTATTTTTAATGGGAGGAAAAAAATGACAAAACGTGTGAGAAAGGTCTTGTGAGAAAGGACATTTTGTCTCTATAATGCCTACATACAGAATTCCACTGTGAAATTCCAAAGACAGACCATACTTCAGTTTATGACAGAGGTGAATTTATTGTTTAGATATCATTTTTTTTTATTGGTGAGAGATCCTTTCTTTATTCTAATCAGATAGTGATAAATGTTTAAAATAATTTTTATATACTATAACCTAGATTGTATTCCATTCTTATAGCTTCTTGCAAAATTCCCCTCAACTTTTTCCTTTACATAAAAAAGTATGCATATATAGTAGCTTTATGATAATTTTTAGGTTTACTGAATTTATTATTTAAAATTTTTTTTTAGTTTCTAATTGTGATTCCAACAGGTATTGTCTTTTGATGCCTATGTGGAAGACGAAGTGGCTGATAAAACGGAAGAAGACTATAGAATAAGACAGTATAAAATCTACTTCTACCCCGAAGATGACACAATTGAAGTTAATGAACCACAGGTGACAAATAGTGGACTACCTCAAGGTATCTACTTAAGCAGAATTAGAGTTTTTCATGTCTAACTCCTGCCTTTATAGACTCTCATTAACTTCTTGTTGTTGTTGTTGTTATGTGCCATCGAATCAGTTCCAACTCACAGTGACCCTGTCTAGGGTTTCCAAGGAGCACTTGGTGGGTTTGAATCACTGAGCTTGCAATTTAGCAGTCCAGTGCTTATTGTATAGTACCACACTAGGACTCCATAATGCCTAACTTTTTGGCAGTGATGAATAGAAACATGCTGTTAGGTTATAGTTAGAAGTCCCTCAGTAGTACAAATGGTTAAGCACTGAGCTACTAACAAAAAGTTTGACGGGTCAAACCTACCCAGAAACATTTCAGAAGATAGGTGTGATGATATACTTCTAAAAGGTCACAGCCTTGCAAATCCTGTGGAAGAGGTCTGCTTTGCATACGTGAGGTGTCAGAATTGACTTGGTGGCAACTAATACAAATGAGATTATGGTTATTGGGTGATTTATTAGCTTTCTGGCTCTACACCTCAACCCTATTTCTTTCACTCACTTGTGGCAGGTTTGTTTGCTTTCAAGTGCTGCTCTATCTGTGTCTTCACACTGTTTGGTCTTTTTGTTGTGGAGACCACTTCCTCTACAACACTCTCAAGGAAGGCAAGAAGGCTGTTCTCCACTGCCACCTCCAGATTCAGGTCCTGCTCTTCTTTCTTGTACACCACCCTTTCCTCTTCCTCAGCCCCAGACAGACCTTCACTCTGTGAGCTAATGCCATCTGAAGCCGAGATCATGGGAGGTGACAGATTTGTCCTTTTTGTGCTGTGGGTTCCTTTCCTGGGGTATGGTGTTAAGTTCTGAATGCCCTCACTTGAGAGAAATCACATGGGCAAAAGACTAAAATGTTGTCATATGTAAGCCCAAATAGTGACAAGGGATTTTTTATCTCTAAGGGGAAGACTCAGGTATGCCTGATAAGTGTTTTCAAGAATCTAAAGATTGTTATATGGAGGAGGGGTGACCTAATTTTCTGTAATTTGAAGGACAGGAATCCTAGGGGTCAGAATTCAGGTCAGTAGGAGGAAGAACTTTCTAGAAGAAAGCTGCTGGGAATTTTAGTGGATAGGCCTGGGTGGGAGTCGGGGTAAGGGTATAGAAGAGGAAGTCATGTATTTTGGGGGGTGGGGGGGCATTGGTATAGATGCATGGCCCAGGAAGGGGTAGGGGTGGGGGTTATGGGATAAAGGGGAGATGAAAGGTTGTTTTTCACTGACAGCTTGGTAGGCGAATAAGAGGAAAGTCATGCCTTTGTTTGATGATTGGTGTACATGACCTTCAGGGCTCTTGAATCCTCGAGGAGCTGCTCTACTATGAACAAACTTTCTTGTGTCTTCAAACTGTTTGGTCTGTTTGTTTTTTCTTGGATTCGTTGTCATCTCTTCATCTCTGGTAGCATTGTTACCTCCAATATATCAGTCTCTGAATTTATCTTCTCTGACCACGCTTTCCAGTCTTCCTATGTTTCCCATTTGTGCACATCCAACCATTTTGTCCTTTACTGGCAAAGTGTATCCTGAATCTGCCCATCCTCACCCAGCCTACCCTTGTCTCTTGACTAGGAAAATGGCAGGCTTGAACTGTCAACCTTTCAGTTAGCAGCCAAGTATGTAACCACTGTACCACCAGAGTTCTTTTTATTTCTGTAAAATGCAAATCTGCTACAATTTCTGGCAGTTCTCTTCTAGAAAGTTCTTAATAACCTGAATTCTGACCCCTAGTGCTGACCTTCAGACTGCAGAAAATAAGGTCACCTGATGATTTCTAAGGAGCCCTGGTGGCACAGTGATAAAGCCCTTGGCCACTAACTAAAAGGTTGGCAGTTCGAACCCACCAGCCACTCTTTGGGGGAAAGATGTGACGATTTGCTTCCATAAAGATTTACAGCTATGGAAACCCTACACAAAAGTTTTACTTATTCCTAGAGGGTCACTGTGAATTGGAACTGAATTGAAAGCAGTGGATTTTTTTGGTTTAGTCATTGATTAAATCTAGAGTGTGAGGAAAGGGACTATCTTTTTTTTTTTTTTTTTTTAGTTTTTATTGTAAATTGAGTGATAGTTTACATGGGAGAACATCAGCTTTACATTCATTCTATCGTATTTTGTTTCATTGCAATGATTACAGTCCCCTCCATGCATCATCATTCAACAGCATTTGCTTCCATTCCCTCTGTTGTTGGTTTTTTGTGTGTGTGTGTGTACACCGAAGCACTCTGGAATATACAACCATTCAAACAACTAAAAGATATACCCTACAAGCCTGCCTCCCGGCTGCCAGCACACAGCCCCTTTCCTTCCCTGAGTCCAGAGGGAAAGAGACTATCTTAATGATAGGGTTCCTACTTTTTCATGATGTCATTTAACCCGAATGACCATCTTAGGCAGTTGCTGTCATTGCCAGATTTTACAGAAAAGGAAACTGAGGCTTACAGATACTTTGCACCATGTGAATCTTAACCTATCATCTCAAAGACCATTCTGTGGTTGGAGAAGTTGGTAATGATGAGGCCATAATAAATCCAGGAGCACGGAGTAAGGAACGCGATTGGGATTTTGCGTAGTAGTAAATTAGTGTTTGGAGTCCTGGTGTGGTGCTGTGGGTTAATACACCAGACAGCAAAGCCATTTGAACTGCAAGGTTAGTGGTTCAAGCTCACCAGCTGCTCCTCGGAAACCCTATCCAGGGTCGCTATGGGTTGGAACCGACTCGATGACACTTAACAATAACAAATTCATTTTAAGGCATGAAGCCTTTTTTAGGTGCATTGGGCCATCTATATAGTGATATCCACAGGCAAGTGGAACCTTGGAATGTTTATTCAGCAAAAAGTCAAGACTAGAGATGTGGACTGGGAATGGCCAAAGGGATGACCAGATCATGAATCAAACGGGTCTGTCCTACCATGTTGAAGGAGAGCCACTGTTGTGATAGTGGAAAGAGGAAAAGAATTCTATGTAATGTGTCTGCTTGGTTTTACTGGTGGAGTGAGAAGATGAGGATTGGTATTCTAAATGCTCATCCTTTACTACAGCATCAGACTTTATACAATAGCCACTTCTTGGTCATTTTATTTGGAGAATGTATGGTTTATTGATGACTATTTAAAAAAAGATTTCAATGCCTTAACATTTTGAAAAAGATTTTCACAAGCTAAGGTGAAAAGTGTGACTTTTTTCCCATAGAGAAACAAGAGATATTTAGGCTGTGGGTCATTTTTAATATGTATAAGGCAGTGTTAACAACTGAAAAAAAAATGTTTCCATTTGAAGAGTTATTGAAGGATAGAAAGCAAAAATTGGTAACGTTTAGTTTCTGTGAACATGTTTTATCTGTATATTTGATGAGCTGAGTGACAGTTTTGCTTTAGCAGGAAAATATTTTCTTGTGTTTTCATTTAAACGTTTTTATATTGCTATATTCCTTAATGAAATTTTGATTTTTAAAAAAGTCATCCCACATCATCCCATCAAATTTATACAAGTGATGGATTGGAGGTTACGGGATATCTTGAAGTTGAATTAAGTTTTATTATTATTACTTTTTGAGTGAAAACTTGTATTCTTGGCCCCTGTCCAGTGAATCTTAGTTTTATTAAACTATCCAAGAAGAATTGTGAAATGTAACCTCTTGGAAAGACTTTTATTAAGGCTTTTCAATTCTCTGGCTCTTAATTTCAAATCTCATATAAGCAGACTTCAAAGGCAAATTGAAGATTGTCATAATGATTTATTTTAAATGATTTTTTGTGTAAGTGGGAAGGAATGTTATTTGTAGTGACTGGGGAGGAGAGATAATAAATTCCAGTGTCTCTTTTGAAAGTTTCAGAATTTCTGATTGGCTCACTCTGGTCAGGACATTTCCCTGAGTGAATACACAGCTCAAGGAATACATGCAAAATAAACAGCAATCATGATATTTAATGAAATTGAATTTGTCAGCAAAGCAGAGATACATGGAGGGCTCTAGCAAATCCTGTACAAAGCAAACAGGAAAAAAACTATTCTATCATCAAGCTTTGTTTAGAGAGAAACTAGTCTCTCTTGAGATACTTAAATGATGATTCTTTTTAGGGAAATTTTATTTGGTCAGTGTGTATTTTGGACCATCAGGTCAATGTCTTCTTCAAGCTGTCCTCAATTAACTGATGGGGGAAAAGAAAGCCTGTCAGTGGCTTAGATCTTAGTGGAACAGGGTAGGAGATATTTTCTTCAGTTGGGTCTTGAGTGGCCTGGCCCTGTTTTCCATGCACCTGTGGGCCTGTGAAGAGGCTGAGGGTGAAGTTTAGATGTGGTGGTGGTAGTGTGCCGTGGAGTCGCTTCCGACTTCATAGCGACCCTGCATAGGGTTTCCGAAGCTGTAAATCTTTACGGAAGCAGAAATCCTCATTTTTCTCCCGGGAATGGCTGGTAGTTTAGAACTGCTGACCTTGAGATTTGTGTAAGTGGGAAGGAATTTTATTTGTAGTGATTGGGGAGGAGAGATAATAAATTCCAGTGTCTCTTTTGAAAGTTTCAGAATTTCTGATTGGCTCACTCTGACTCGTAACCACTATGCTAAGATTGTTGTTGTTGTTAAAGTGCCGTCAACTCGGTTCTGACCCATAGTGACCCTATACAGGGTTTCTGAGGCTGTAAGTCTTTACGGGAGCAGAAATCCTCATCTTTCTCCCACAGAGCGGCTGGTAGTTTCAAACTGCTGACCTTAAGGTTCGCAGCCCGATTCGTAACCACTATGCTGTCAGAACTAAGGTACTAGATATTAATGATGTTTGAGTCACTTCCAGTCAGTTTGTGGGTTTTTTTTTAATGAACCAGGAATTCAGATGCATCTGTTTCTTCTGAACCTGACCCTTCAGAAATTAGTATAACTGAATGAATTATATCCTTCCTTTCTGTTGCCTCTCCTATTAGTGTGTTTTTTTTTTTGAAGGTTGGAAGAATTTGGAATAATCCAGGA